CTTTGGTAGAGGAAAAATGTCTGGTCTGAGGTTGAAGAGGAAATATTTCACTGACCAAGGAAACTGGAGGGGAGCTGGCAGAAGGGCGAGGCTAAAGCTGGCTGGAGGTCGTCAGCTGGAACAGGGTGGACCTCCGGGAAGAGGGCCAGGATTTGGAGAGGGGGGGTGTTTGAAAGGGACCATGGACTTCGGGTGGCAGGCGAGTGTGTGGGGGATGGAAAAAGACATGTAATTAATCAACGAAATATAGAGGAGGCAGCAAAGAACTTTAAGGGGGGCACTGAAGAGGGAGCTGATGCCCCCCAAAAGGGCGACAGAAAAAGCTCTGTTCAGATTCAGGGCCTTGAGCTCGTCTTCGCCCAGCAAGGGCTGTTCTCTCCCTCTCCCGGACAGCTCCTGGGCACTGGGCTAACCCCCACCCCCACATCCTCCTCGCCAAACTGAGGCTTGACCCCCTACTCAAGAGGGAAGGAGAGAGACTCCATCAGAATGAACCGTATCCAGCTCACCCACTCGGCACCCCTGGCTGCGGCTCGGTCTCCCTCCCAGACTGGGAAAAAGCCCTCTAACAGCCCCCTCAACGCCCCTCCCCCTCAGCTTCCATTGCGCTTCGAGGGAGGGTCCCCTCCTTCCCATACTGCCCTTTTCCCATCTCCAAGCGCCCCCCAAAAAGCAGCATAGGCCTCGGCACGTCCGCGATTCCCGCCAGCCGCCCGCCGCGGGAAGGCCTCCCGGCCTCCTCGTACCCGCCATCCTGGACCCGTTCCCACTTCGGCTGGCCCCAGGGCGGCACAGCTTTCCGGGGGCCCACAGACGCCCCCGACGAAAAGGCTGGGCCATCCCCTAACCGCGCACTCTCCCGGGCCACCGCCCCGCACATTCTCCCGCGGCTAGGCGCGATCACCCCGGCCCCATACGCCTTTACGCGCCCGCGCACATCCTCCCGCACTCCGCACGCTCACCGCGGCGGGGCAGCGGTTACTACACGGCCCTCGGCAGAGCGGCGCTGGCTCGGCCCAGGCACGCCCAGCGTGGCAGGAAGCACCACGGAGCACCCAGCAGCCGCCAGCGCACAGCAGCCCCGCGGCGCGTTTCCGGAGCCGCGGGCGCCGCCGGGGGTAGTGAGAGCGCGAGGCCCCGCCCCGGGCCCGCCCGCCGGCCCCAATTGGTCTGGACAGGGGGCGGGGCAGGAAGGGGGCGGAGACGAGTCCCGGCGCGGAGGGTCAGGCCAGAGCAAGACCAGCCGGGCGCTAGGGCCCGAGGCCTGCGGGGAGCAGGAGAGTGGAGTGAATGTACCAATGAATGAATGAACGGGAGAGTGAATGGGCCCACCCACGAAGGAGGGAACGAAGGTTCCTTACCCCCTTGGGCGCCTTCTGGTCAGGGGTGAGGGTAGGGAGATGAGAACGGAGGGCGAAGCAGAGCAACGCCAGCTCTTACTGTAGGGTTCAAAACCCCTCACCAAGTCACCAAGGGTCCTGTGAGCCCCTGCTGTGCCCGGCACTGAGAATACAGCCGTGAGCAAAAGCAGGCCGCATCCCTGCCCTCTTGGTGTCGGGGGGAGCGTTGTGTATTTTCCTCGGTTCTTGTCCCCGCTGCAACAAAGAATTGAAGGGCAGAGAAATAGTAATGAAGTAGAGTAAAAGTTTTACTTAAAGTTACTTAGAGAAAAAGTGCTGGCGACGTCAGGGAAGAGAGGCACCCTGAAAGGTTTAAGCTTTATTTAAAGAGAGCAAGTGCACGCTTGCAGAAAGGGGAGTGTGAGCTGCCTCAGAGAGGAGGCGCGCTGAAAGGTGGAGATAAATTTTTAAGGCTACACACCTAGAAAGTGCGGGCGACCTCAGAGAGGAGCGCCCTGAAAGGTTTAGGGTCTGGGGTTTTATAGGCGGTTGAGGATTTTCAGGAAAGCGACAAAGGGCCAGATGATAGCCTGATGGGTTTTCCTTTGCAGGTGACCTTTTTTCTATTTGTGCCATTGTTAATGGAACCTTCCTTTGTTATTTTCTAGCTGGTTATGTGTCTACATGTGATGACTTCTGATTTCTGGATGTTAGTTGTGTTACCTGTTACTTTACTAATATCTTCCATTGTTTATAGTGGTTTTCCATTAATTCTTCCTGTCTAGTTTTATGTATTTTCCTCTCTCTTGTCTAATTACATCAGATCATACCTCCACCACAATGTCAAACAGTAATGAGTATTAGGCATCTCTTTTTGTTTTGTTTCTGACTTCTCTGAGCTAAAGTTTCCCCATTGAGCAAGTTACTGGCTTTGGGGCTGAGATCTGTATATTTGATTAGCTAAGGCCTGGGAGGGAAGAAAGGATGTAGGCATTGAGAGCACAAAGGGAGTCTTGTTATGGGGCACACGCTGAATACGTGAGAATTGAAAATGGGAAGCTAATGACAGGTTTTCAGGAGGGAAGGCATACATTCTGGAAGATCACATTGCAGAACTGTGAAGGGTGGATTGGAGAAGAGAGCAATCAGATAAGAGTTTTAATAGTACCAGCAGAGAATGATGAGGTTCTGAACTGGGTCAGCAGCAGCGGGAATTCAAAGAAAGCCGCTCAAGTACAGGTGCAGAGGTAAACATTGCAGGGCCTGGTCATAACTGGATGGGAAGGATACAGGACTCGGAGGCGTCAAAGACAATACTAAACAGTTCATTCTCTGAGTGCTGGCATTTGGTAATAACCTTTGGAAGAATTCTTCTTTGGTACTTCATCAAATCTTCACACCAATTAATAAATGGTTCTCAAGGAGCATTAGAGCAACACTTGTTCTCTACTTGGAAACTAAAATTTTGTATATACATAATTCTGAAATCCTTTATAGAATATTTATTTCAAAACTCTTTTGCTAGTTTACTTATACCATCTCAAGTAGTTTAAGAAGAGTGACACATTAACATGCATTTGAACAAGGTGATTAGTAAAAAGAACACCTTCCCACCCCACCCCCACCAAAAAGAAAAAGAAAAGAAAGGGAACGTACAGGATTCCCATCGCCTCGTGAGTAAGTATATATATCTGCGCAAAGTGTCGCCGAGGACAATCTGCTAATGTGCAAACGTCACAGATCATTGTCAATTCAAAAACCTTTAGCCCCCCTCTGGCTTTTTCCTTGTTATGCATTTCAACCTTCTCTTATGGTTATAAGTTTGCATAGAAAGTCATTAATGTTCTAAAAGCAAATATTCCATTTGAATATAAAAGCAGCCTTCACTAATTATGATGACCTACTTCATATTTAACAATAACTGTTAATACAAGTAAAAGACCTCCAGGAACGATTTATAGACTTGCTATTTTCTACTGTAGATAAATAGATAGATATCACTGATCTCCTAAAAACTGATTTCTGAACAAAGTCATGACCAAAGTGTTAATCAAAGTATCAATTTTCTTCATGATACGTATACTTCTAGGTAAAACTCCCAGTTAACGGTTCCCTGTTTTAAATGACTGCCACAAGACTATTAACGAATCCCAAAAATAAAAATCCATTCCAGAATTACGTTAAATCCAGAACAATGGTTCAAAATGGAAAGTGGTTAACCGTTTACATGTATAGTCTGAATGTCTTTTCCCATAGACTCAGAAAGAAACAAACCATCTTCTACATTTTATGCACATTGCTTTTTAAGAATGTGTTACCGAAGACAGCAGACCTTTAAGAGTTGCTCATGTATGTTTACAGTTTTTAGCTGTTTCTGGTTCTGAACAGTTCCAGCTTGTTGAAGAATCTTCCGTTTCTCTTGCAACATACTCTGCAAATACAAAAGAAAAAAGTGATAAAGTGTGGGTAACATTTCATGTTTAGATAACATAACTGTACATTAAGCTTCAAAGGAATACTCTTTAAATCAACACTTGTTAACCTTTCCTCTTTCACAACTTTTATGACCCAGTTTAGATAACTGTGTGCTCACCGCTAATACACAAAAACAATATAATCATCCTATCTAATGGCCATTGAATAGGCAGTTTTTCTTTCTTACCAATATGGAAAACATGCTTTAACTCTTGATGTCAAAACCACAAATGGCCGTGCCAATAATGTGTTTACCACTAGTGGGCAAAAGCTGTATGACAATCCTTCCTAACGGTAAGCGCGGAGGAAACATTCCTTCTTACCAATATTCCAAAAGTATTGTTCCTAACTGAATAATGATATCTCACAAGCTTCACCTCTTGAAAACTAATGAGGATTTACTGTGCTCTAAATTTTCCAGAAGAGTTCATTTTCTCTAAGAGCAGTTTACTTTTCATTTCTTCTTACTGATAACATATACGTTCTGATACGATAAGTAGAGCCAATGAGCATACTATATCCATTTATCATAGAAGATTTCCAAACAGGAATATTTCACTTAAACATTTCCCCTCTGTGGCACAATAAAGACTTTGAAACAAAGAGCAGTGGGTACAATTCAGCTAAAATGTACAAATTATTTACAATGTAAGGTTAACATTTCCTACGCAGTTGAATAGTTAACTATCACAGGAACAATGCTTATTTAAGACCTTTACCTTAGGCTTCAGCTAGTGTAGGTCTAGACTGAACATAAATTAATTTTATAGGAAGAGAGCTCAATTGGTATTTGAACTGGAAGAAAGGTCATCCTTATTGGCTTCTAGGAAATATATCTCAATTCACTCAAGGAGTGAGGTTCCAGAACTAAAGAGTTTTATCTGATTAGAAAAAAAATCCAGCAAAATATATTTTTCACTGGAAAATGGAATATGATAGTACTTGTCTTAAGTAATTTGCACCAATAAATGCTAAAAACTGATACAAAAGTTCTCAAGGCTCAAAAACACCAACTTTACCTTTGTTCTTGTTGCATTTTCCAAACTTGCTCAATCTTTTTGTTAATGGTGTTGATAGAAGCGTTAGCAATCGTGTCAAACTTTCTTCTCTTTGCAAGAAAAGCCTGCTCAACTTCAACTATATAGGAAATAGATATTCATTAAAAGTTAATGTTGAGACTTGGTAATGGCGACGGGTTTGTCAGAGCACCATAACAACACGGTGTGGGAAGTGAAGACGAATCAGATGCCTAATGCTATACACGAACTCTTGCTGGTAATGGACAAGAGAGCTTCAGGAATGAATGACTCATTGGAATTGCTGCAGTGTAATGAAAATCTGCCGCCCTCACATGGATACAACTCCTGTGATGAGCACGTGGAGCTTGATGACCTTCCTGAACTTCAGGCTGTTCAAAGTGATCCTACCCAATCTGCCATATACCAGCTAAATTCAGATGTTTCACATCAAGAATATCCAAGACCATCTTGGAACCAAAATACCTCAGACATATCAGAAAATACTTTCGGTGAAAATGAGGTGGATTGGTTAACGGAATTAGCAAATATCACCACCAGTCCCCAAAGTCCTCTTAAGCAGTGCTCATTTTACAACTGATCATCTCCTGTACACACCATAGCTACTAGCAGAAGTTTACATTCCTATGCACGCACTCCACCAGTGTCCTCTTCAAAGGGCGAGCCAGCCCTCCCTCATCACCAGTGGAAGGGGGAAACACCAGTCAGACATGAAAGGGCAAACAGTGAGTCAGAATCTGGCATTTTCTGCATGTCCTCGCTCTCAGACGACGACGATTTGCGGTGGTGCGATTCCTGGCCTTCAACTGCTTGGCACTGTTTTTTGAAAGGCACCCGATTGTGCTTTCATAAGGGAAGCAATAAAGAATGACAGGATGTTGAATATTTTGCTAGGACTGGAGGCTGCCATAATGATGAAGAGCTCCAAATGGGCACTTACAAGGGCTATGGTTCTGATGGTCTAAAGTTGTTATCACATGAAGAAAGTGTATCATTTGGCGAGTCTGTACTAAAGTTGACTTTTGATCCTGGTACAGTAGAAGATGGTTTACTTACTGTAGAGTGTAAGCTGGACCACCCTTTCTATGTTAAAAATAAAGATTGGTCATCATTCTATCCAAGCTTGACTGTGGTACAGCATGGCATTCCGTGTTGTGAAATTCATATTTGTGATGTATTTCTACCTCCTGGACACCCCCATGCCATTAATTTTGATGATTCAGGTGTCTTTGATACATTTAAAAGCTATGACTTCATGTCCATGGACTCCTCTGCAGTCTACGTGTTGAGTAGTATGGCTCGTCAGCATCATGCATCTTTGTCTTGTGGAGGATCTGGTGGTCAAGACTGTGCAAGATCTGGACTCAATAAAAACTGTGGCTCTCCTGGATCCTCACAGCTCTTGTCCAATTCTTTGTATGCAAAAGTTGTCAAAAAAACACGGCTCAGGGACTGTGAGTGCCACTTCCCCAAACAAGTGCAAAAGACCAATGAATGCCTTCATGCTTTTTGCCACAAAATACCGAGTTGAATATACTCAGATGTATCCAGGGAAAGATAACAGAGCCATAAGTGTGATCCTTGGTGACAGGTGGAAGAAAATGAAGAATGAAGAGAGAAGGATGTATACATTAGAAGCAAAGGCTTTGGCTGAAGAACAGAAAGGTTTAAATCCTGACTGTTGGAAAAGGAAAAGAACGTATTCAGGCTCACAACAACATTAAACTGGGATGTTTATGCCCTTAAGTCTGTACTTGCATAAACATTGACTGTTGGTGGAAAGACTTAAGAAGATCGAGGTCTTGCCATTTGTCCTGAATTCGTGTGACCATAAGCTACTGATAGCATTGAGTCTTGAAATGATTTAATAATATGAGTGAGGATTTGCTTTCTCCATTACAGCATTAAGTAAGCTAAAACTATAACATTGTAAACCAAATTGCCTTATTTTTCTTCCAAACTTCATATATGTCTATCAGGTAATATAGGCTTGAAAATTGATATCCTGTGGTGCTAAAGTACAGTAGAAAGAGAGGAGAAGGGTATGTAAGATAAATTCTAGCCGAAATAAGCAGGTGAAGAGAGGCAACAAAGGGCCAGGTAGTTTATTTGAATGCAAATTCCCAGGCGAGGTTTCTCAGTGTACAGAAATGGAGGCTGGGAAAGTCGCGCCCAGCAGGGCAGGCAGCAAGTTTTTAAAGAAGGCAGGGGGAGGGAGAGCTTAGATTTACAACAGCGTGAGGATTGGCTAGCCTAAGGCACATTTTTCAGGTTGGGAGGGGGCAGCAGCCAGGGACTCTGACACGTCATCAGTGTCTAACGTGCTCCCCCCTCCCCCCAGTGCCTTCAGCCTCACATTCCAGCCTTTTGGTCATAATGGGTGACGACTTGATCTGGCTACTTCTGGCTGACAAGGGGCATCGTGGGCGGGGGGGTTCGTAGCATGTAGTTACATTGCTCTGACTGAAAATATCTTGCCTTGCTTTCTCCAGAGGCTCTCACAGGTCAGGGGAGACGTCCTGGGAGCCTGGGTGAGGGACGTCTCCCACACCGCAGGGCCAGGGGTGGGCTGGATGCCCGCAGAGGGTGGGCTGGATGCCCAAGGGGCCGGACGCTCCACCTGGACGTAGCTACAATTTCTAATGGACCAGGTGAAATGGAGTTAGGAAGGGAGACAGGGGGAAACTGAGGGACTCACCAGAAAATAGTCCATGCAGCGGAGAGCAGGCTGAGGTCCCGGGTCAAGGAAGGAGGGAGCAGGGCCACCAGTGGCCAGTTGGGGCCCCGCGCTCAAACTCCTTCCCAGGATTTCGGCACCAAATGTAAGATAAATTCTAGCCGAAATAAGCAGGTGAAGAGAGGCAACCAAGGGCCAGGTAGTTTATTTGAATGCAAATTCCTGGGTGAGGTTTCTCAGTGTACAGAAATGGAGGCTGGGAAAGTCGTGCCCAGCAGGGCAGGCAGCAAGTTTTTAAAGAACGTAGGGGGAGGGAGAGCTTAGATTTACAGCAGCATGAGGATTGGCTCGCCTAAGGCACATTTTTCAGGTTGGGAGGAGGCAGCAGCCAGGGACTCTGACACGTCATCAGTGTCTGACATGCTCCCCACTTCCCCCAGTGCCTTCAACCTTACAGTGTATACGTTATATTTTAAATTGTCCAAATGGGAACTTAAAAGTATAAAACTACTGTTTATACATTGGCTCCTTATTGCATATTAATCTATATTGTACACAGAATGGAATGAACTAGAAGCTGGAAGTTGGCTCTTCCTTGAGCAACCACCACATGGCTCAACATCTGTGCCAAACACAGGAGCTCCTAGTCTGGTCTGTGCCAAGAGGCCACCAGAACATGTGGATGGTGGGCCTGTCCCAGCCGAAGAGCCACCTGCCGTGGTCCCCCAAGCAGTGAGTCTGTGCAGCAGGTGGCAATAGCTGTCCACATTGTTGCCCATGGAGCCCTCATCCAGGCTAGTTATTAGTATTGGGATACAGTCACTGTAATGGTGCTATGAACAGTTGACACCATTGTAAACTTTGTGTCCTGTATCTCTTCAGGCACATAGCTTATGTATCTTATTTTGTCATCATATTTTTATGGTGGGGGCAGATCTTGTACCTTGTACTTCCTGCAGTGCAACAGTTGCACTTTACTTCTCCTCCAACTGTCTAAGATTAGAGCAAACACATTGGCAATACAGCTGCTTTTGCTCTAAGCTACAATCATGGCTTCTCATGTTACTTACCAAGTATTTTTCTGGTTAGGAATCACAGCTGTAAAACTGATTTCAGTTCATTATACTTCTTCATGATGTTGCCCCTAAATTTTTCACACTATATTCTTGTATATTATTTCAAATAAAACGAAAAAAAAAGTTAATGCTGAAAATTATTTTGCTCCCATATTTTCAAATCAGTGTACATACATGTTGCCTCAGCAATATACAAAGACATTTAAAATTCATAAGACAGGCATTGTAAGTGTTGAAACACTATGCTGTATACCTGAAACTAATATAAAGTTGTATGAGAATCATGCACCAGATAGTATACAAATAAATAAAATCTATGATACGGTCACCATTTCAAAAAGCAAGATTTGCTGACTCTTTTCTGTAAAATAGTTCCAGAACCTGTATCCCATTTCTAATTTTTCTGCAGATCACCTTCTAATTTAGAGATAATGAAAAGGGAATAATAATCAAAATATTTTCCATTGTCAAAATGTATATAAGGGATCTCAAAGACAAACTTTAATTTCCCTTGGGAGAAAACAGTTGAGAGACAAATATTTCAAAAGTTATAAAATATCCTGCAATTCAGGGACATGTTTAGATGGATCAATGGATTACTACTAGAGCACATCAGGTTGAACGCACAAAAGTATTTTCTTAAAAATATCCCTCAAAAAGACTTAGAACCAAGATGGCGGCATGAGTAGAGCAGCGGAAATCTCTTCCCAAAACCATATATATATTTGAAAATACAACAAATACAACTAATCCTAAAAAAGAGACCAGAAGATACAGGACAACAGCCAGGCTATATCCACACCTGCAAGAACCCAGTGCCTCACGAAGGGGGTAAGATACAAGCCGTGGCCCGGTGGGACCCGAGTGTCCCTCCCCCCAGCTCCTGGCAGGAGGAGAGGAGTCGGAGCGGGGAGGGAGAGGGAGCCCAGGACTGCTAAACATCCAGCCCCAGCCATCCGCACTAGAGTGCAGTCACACAGTGTGTGGGGTGCTGGAAACTAGGAAAATAGGACAGTAAGACCTGTGAGCAGGTCCCCACGGCGAGTGCACCCGGGACAAAGAAAAGCGAGTGCTTTTTGAAACTCTTAAAGGGACAGGGACCCCACAGCTGGACAGAAGTGCCCCAGGACACTTAGCCCAAAAGCTGGGAATTACGGGGAACTCTGGGCACCCGAACGCCCGCAGCACAGCTCGGAGGCCCCTCAACGCAATAAACAGCCTCCTGCCTGTTCCCCCTCTGACACAACTACGCCATATTGGAGCAGCAGCCTGAGGCAGGCCATGCCCACAGCAACTGCAGAGCTACATAAACTCCATAGCGGCCGGGCAAGATCAGAAGCTCCGTCTGCTCGCAGCTGCCCAGCACAAGCCGCTAGAGGCCGCTGTTCTCCCAGGAGAGGAAGGCCACAAACTGGCAAGAAGGGACTTTCTCTTACCCAACACATGCGCCAGCTCCCCACAAATATATCTATCGCCATGAAAAGGCAGAAGAAATTGATACAGACCAAGATCACAGAGGCAAACCCTGAGAAGGAGATAGACCTAACCAGTCTTCCTGAAAAAGAATTAAAAGTAAAGCTCATAACCATGCTGATGGAGCTGCAGAGAAACATGCAAGAGTTAAGGGATGATGTCCAGAAGGAGATTACAGAAATGAAACAATCTCTGGAAGGACTTATAAACAGAACGGATAAGATGCAAGAGGCCATTGATGGAATAGAAACCAGAGAACAGGAACGCATAGAAGCTGACACAGAGAGAGATAAAAGGATCTCCAGGAATGAAACAATATTAAGAGAACTGTGTGACCAATCCAAAAGGAACAATATCCGCATTATAGGGGTACCAGAAAAAGAAGAGAGAGAAAAAGGGATAGAAAGTGTATTTGAAGAAATAATTGCTGAAAACTTCCCCAAACTGGGGGAGGAAATAATCGATCAGACCATGGAAGTGTACAGAACTCCAACAGAAGGGACCCATGGAGGACAACACCAAGACACATAATAATTAAAATGGCAAAGATCAAAGACAAGGACAGAGTATTAAAGGCAGCCAGAGAGATAAAAAAGTTCACCTACAAAGGAAAACCCGTCAGGCTATCATCAGACTTCTCAACAGAAACCTTACAGGCCAGAAGAGAATGGCATGATATATTTAATGCAATGAAAGAGAAGGGCCTTGAACCAAGAATACTGTATCCAGCACGACTATCATTTAAATATGAAGGAGGGATTAAACAATTACCAGACAAGCAAAAGTTGAGGGAATTTGCCTCCCACAAACCACCTCTACAGTGTATTTTAGAAGGACTGCTCTAGACGGGAGCACTCCTCAGACTAAATAGACGTCACCAGAGAAAATAAAATCACAGAAAAGAAAGCAGATCAACCAAATACTAACTCAAGGCAAAAATTAAAATAGACTACTCACAAAAGCAGTGAAAGGAAGCACAAAAGAGCACAGAATAAAACAACCAACATATAAAGAATGGAGGAGGAGGAATAAGAAGGGAGAAAAAGAATGACCAGACAGTGTATATAACAGCTCAATAAGCGAGGTAAGTTAGACAGTAAGATACTAAAGAAGCTAACCTTGAAGCTTTGGCAACCACGAATCTAAAGGCTGCAAATGGCAATAAGTACATATCTTTTAATAATCACCCTAAATGTAAATGGACTGAATGCACCAATCAAAAGACACAGAATAATAGAATGGATAAAAAAAGCAAGACCCATCTATATGCTGCTTTGGGCAGCTACTTAATTTCTCTGAAACGTAAGCAGAGGCCACAATGTTGAGGTGAGTGACCATGGCACTGGTTATCACTCCCTGCTCCTGGGCCCCCATCTCCACATCTCAGCTCCTCCCTTCTGCAGCCGCAGACAGAGGCCTTCCATGTCCACTTGCTGTTCTGTTCCCTTCCTTGACCTGTATCTAAGTTCTATTGCACAATTAAAAAAAGAAAGTAAAA